TTCTCTAAAATTCTAAAGTAAGATAGCTTAATTACATCCGATCACTGTGTTCAGACCAAAGCTGTTCGGGTTTTTTTTGTGGTTTGTTTTTTCATGTGTGCGTGTGTTAGGGTGTTGGGTTTTGGAGGGGGGCGGGTTTTGGTTTTTTTATGGTAACCCAGATAGTTCTGCAAAAACTACAGTTGCTAACCAGTGAAATGTACCTTTAAATGTGTAACAATGTTCTAGGACTGTTTGTTTTATGGGAACGATGGCTGCATCACACTAAAATTTTGCTCTAACACCCTTGGGACAGTACGCCTTCCTTTGGCTTCTGTAGGCTCATCGCTTACCCATTGCTAAAACTCTGTATGGCGATGCAAATATGAGCTACAGAAACCTAAAGCCTGAGCAGTGCACTGAATTAGTGAATAAGCCTTAGGCCCCAAGCTAAAGGGCTACCAATTTTATCTAGCTTGCATCCATACATTGCACCCTGCTTCTCCAGGACTTGCAGCCTGACCTACTGGACTCATAACTAGCATTTGAGACACCAAGAAAGGGATGAATTAATCGTAGTCATCTTAAAGCTAAAATTTTGCAGACATTTTATACAAAGTGAATGCCTTGTAGAAGCTTGGGATTTTAGCACCTGTTTGTTTCTTTTTTTGTTATGGCCAGTTTAAAAGATGTAGGGTTTTTTTCCTAGATCGAAGTGCTTTCCATTTTATGTTTTCATTTCATAGAAAAATGCTTTCTATACTGGGAAGGACTGTTACTATTTTTAAAAGGTACTGTAGTTCTAGTAAATGATACAAAGCGTGATTTTTTTCAAGCAATGATAAGCAAGCAGAAAGAGGACCATCTCAATTGTTATTTTTAGCTTATTCTCAGACAGGCTATGAATTAGGCTGTTTTGCAAGCTTTACAACACAAACTTAGTTATTTGAAATTCACCTATAGGGAAGTGGTTATATCGAGAGTAAACTGTGAAAAAGGCTTCTTTGTTAACACAGCACAAGACTGCCATTAATTGACACTGACCAGACTAGACCCGGCTACCAAGACAGTTCTTGGGCATTTGCTGAGAAGGGAACAAAATCTGCTTAAGTTGTAATGTCATCTTCTTTGAAGTAACGTAGTCATCTTTGAAGCCATATGTAAAGTGGGACTAAGGTATTATGGCCCATTCAAATTCTACTGCTAACAGTGATGTTCCTTGAAGCTCTAAAGCATGCAAAACACTAGCTCATCCCCTACATTTGCTCTATCTAAAAAACCTCCAGGCCACATGCTAGGGTAAATTAAAAAGCTAAACCAACACACTGTTCAGATCTGTAGCTGTTAAGTGGATATTGCTTAACCACAGTATTAAAAGATTCCTATTATTATAGCGAAAATAAAGGTTTACTATAAAAAAGGCCAACCTTTCTGTAACATTAGTCTTGACTCAAGAATGTTAATGCTGCCAAAAAAAGCCCAAACTCTACAGACACTATTTGCCAGATAGGTGAATAGCACATAGAAAACTGCACTTGACTTCAAGAGTGCATTTAGGTATATCTGTCTTGACCCTTTTACAAATACCTTGGTGGCTGCCGTGGGGAGGTGGGTGTTGCAGTGCTTGCTATTGCAATGTCTCAAATCCTTTCTTGGGCTGTATCCTGAGCATCTGACACTCTTCTGGAGTCAGAATATCAGACGGACTTTTGAAAGCAGCTTCTCCATTGGCAGGCTGCCACTGCACAGTCCAACAGCAGGCAGAATTATAAAATAATATAAAATAGCCTAAAGTTACCTCATAGCATCTGTACTGATAAATTTCCCCAAAGGAGAAAGTTAACTAGGTATAATTAAACATGCATCACAGTGAGCTTCTGTTTGGAGTACGTGCTGTGTGGGACGGCTGCACTGCTTGCTCAGAGAGCCACCCAAAACGCGACAGTGACTGCTGCTTGCTATGTCCAAACAGTCACTTACCTGCAACCGCAAAGCTTGTCTTCCCTCATTAATGCTTGAAGATTACAGCAGCTTCAATATGGCTGGAAGTGCAATTCCAGCGGGTTTACGATGCTTTCTATGACACTGGCACTTCAGGGAAAGCACGCAGCAAATGGAAAGCTAACAAGCTTGCAAACAAGCTTACAAACAACAGGGAGACAGCTTCTCACCAGGAAAATAATCTCTTTTACAAGATGCTGTCCTTAATAAATAATGCACTTACCCTTAATAAAAAAAAAAATTTAAAATCTGTTCAATACTACAATCTGGTAAGGGATCAAAGCAGACCTCTTTCCAGAGTTCTGCTGTATTTTTAATAGGCACAATAGTAATACATAATAAAAATAAAGACTTCTTTACCTAAATAAAATTACATCCATTTACTTATCATTAGATTACTCTAAACTGTGCAATTGTCTTATAAAGCCACTGATGGTGGCTTTCCAGCTAAGTTGCCGCTGATCCTTTGACTTGATTTGTGAAATAAAGGCACTCCAGTATGGGACTGGCATACTTTGCAAAACCATTTACTTCTATTTAGAAGTTAAAAATACATTTGTTTTATATTTTCTCCAGGGAACATAAGTATAGTCTGAGTGGGTACAATGTGACTGACTTGATAGTCTAATTATGGTTCAAAACACATTAAGTGCAGCACAACTTTGTAAAATTTTCATTTCTGGAGTAAGACACATCAGTATTCCCAAATAAAACACACTACAATATATTTTTACAATATTTTTTGTGGAAAATATTTTCTTGTGGACCAAATAAAATTGAACTTACCATCAGCTTGTATGACTTTTGTTTGATAAAAATGCATAGATTGGAAAGGATCATGTTACCATGAGTTTGGGGTAATTCCTGTTCACATAATTTTTGGAAGCAACAGAACACGCAAGTCCAAGTTTACCAATTAAGAAGTATACTCTTGCTAAAAGGTTGTAAGGCCTTTTCAACTGGAGAAGGCATGATCTCTGCTCCCTGGGGATTACTGTGTTTTTCATTAAATGTAGTTGCTGAAGATTGCTCCTTTTGTACAAAAATAATGGAATGAACCAATTTTTTAAAAACAAATTAAAAATAGCCATTGTTTAAGAATCTAAAACATAATAATTTTAAAAAATAAGGGGGTGGTTTTCATTTCTTACAGAACCATGAGGTAGAAATTCAAGTCATATTTTCAGAATTACCCTAAAGGTATTAATGAAATCTTTCAACTATTTTTGAAAGTAAATTCAAGGACTGTCTCGTAACAAATACGTGCGTGGTAACATTAACTCGCAGGTGCAATTTTAACAATTTTATCTTAAAGATTCTAGTGACAAAGCAAGGTGCCATTTTTTCTTGATTTTGCTCACTTCTGATTCTTTGAAAGTCAGTCTAGTAGTTCACCTTGATGCCTGTATTTCCTGGACTTTGTCTCCAGGCAACAGCTTCTAGGAAGGAAGGAGCCTTAAGCCAGTGTAGACTGTTAACTATCAGTAATAAAAATTGCCCAATGTTGAAAACTCCATAACGGTTCTGCTGTAGCTCTGACTTTTTGATTCCTCAGTGCTGGTTACTATGTTAATTTGAACAAAAGTTTTCTTCCTTTAGTCTCAGTGGTTCATCTTCAGAGAAGGTAAAATTTGTATTTGTGACCTGCCTATAACTGCAGAAACAAGTAGGAGGAGATACTGATATATGATTTGAGTACGCATAAAAAAGCATGTAGTCTTAATGTTGAAGAAAGAATAGCAGCTATGCGTTGCATACACAATAGAAAAAAATAATTTTACCCCCCAAAAAGACTATACTTTTACCAAGGGGCTCTGGTTATATCATACAACCTCAACTATTATTAGTATCAGAAGCCAACAACCTTTACTGCATGTACAGGGGGGTTTTGATGTATATTTAAATTTTGATCCCAACAAATACATTTGTTAGGCTATATTGTGTTAAAAATTATACGATCCATGTAACAGCAGATATTTCACATTTTCCCCTATTCTTTACCTTCAGTACATATTGCTGCGTTGCCCCTACTTTTCACAAATTTTCTACTTAGCTGACGGGATGTTCATGGGCACAAGCAAACGGGAGCCCAGACTAGTTGGTATAGATAAACTCCCGCTACTTGCAGTATTAGGGCCAGGCTGTCCTCTAACACTAAAATCATTAGACA